ATATATATATGCCTATATTTACTGTTTTGATGTTATTTTTTTTGTTGATGTGTAAGTTTTAATTGGAAGGGTAAGAAGTGTACATGCGGAGAGAAGAGGAGTACTTTGAATGTTGTTTATGAAAATAAAGGAAGATAATATGTTTCATGGAATAACATTTAAATTTCCATGAAAGGAGGGAATAGAGGAAGGGATTAATTTATATATATATAGTATAGGTAAATATTACTGTTTACTAAGAAAGATTGTATTATATTTCAGAAAATCTTTGGCAGTATATGTCAAGTTTTGACACGGTCGAGAAATACTCAGTCTTTCGGAAAACAGAAAGCCCAAGTTGCTAAAAGCCCAGTTTGCTCCTTTAATGAATGGGATCCTTTAGAATTGAGAACGCCACCGTTCCAGAATTAACGCCAGAAATCTAGGTAGGCCGGTCATGAATGCTAAATCTGTTCATAGACTCTGTGACCGATTATCGGAAAACTTTAAACTTCATTTCCGCCTGTACTTTGCTTGACGATGCATGCGCTGGCGTATGCGGAATGTTAGGCTGCATTTTTTGAACAGATCTTCAATTCCCGATAGTTTTCGGTGACAGCCACGCTGTAGAGAAAATGCAGCGTTTATTTTTTATTTATTTTTTTTTTTTTGGAGCAAGGCTTAACTGGCATCAGACGCAACCACAGCTGCAAGCTGGTGTTGATGCAAATAAAGAAAACGAAAGACGTCCATTCCATTTAATTTAACTGTAATTTCTTTCTATTGTGAGCAAGATAAGCTGCGTTAGGCATGCGAGCTGCTAATTCATGGCTTAACCTTTTACACAGTGGTAACTTCTTGAGATGAAAAGCTATGTTAGCACTCCCACACACTCAAAAGTAAGGGGACCTAATCTATCGACGAATACGATGGCCCTACTGACTATGGGAACCAATGACACAAGGGTGGTTATGGTTTTGATTGTGTTGGTCTGTAAAAACGTCATAATATAGTAACTCTGTTTCTTTCTAATTCTTTACTTGAGGCTGTCGTCCCCGAAAAAAGTTGGATTTTTTTTAAAGAGAACACATGAGGAAGGCTTCGTTAGAGATTCCGGAGTTTTGCCGAATTTTTGAACACGAAAGAGTGAAGGTTCAACGGCCAGATGTACTTGACCATTTGAAATCGTATTCCTCGCCTGATTTCAGCTCGACAGGTAAGTAAACTGACGGCCTGACAAGTTCATTCAAATGCTAATAGGACAATAGTATATTAGAATTGAATATGCATTTTTATTGTTGGTGCCGCACAGTAGTGTTGGGTCTGAGATATATCTGGCCTTAAAAATAAGGGGTTTTGTATCAAGGTTATCGCGAGCAGCAACAAAATGTGGCTCGCAGGTTACACTTTGCCAATGTGGGAGTTAATGAATTAACATCCTACCTTGCCTTATAAGGTATCGTCATGACACATTCGACGCTGTCAATTACGAATTCAATGGTTGTCAAGTGTTAATGTGTGTTGGTGTATTCACATGACAAGTGGTAGATTGTATTCATAATCTCTGTTCAATTATGATTATAATATTTCTGTTTTACATGTATTTTTTTACTGTACTTAATAAAGAGTGGTACATAAATACAGCCATTCCCAAACCAATAAGATCGTTAAAAAAAAATATGTTGGTATGTAGGATTGTATTCAGCGATGCCACGTGATCTTCTGTTTGTGGTGGGTGAGGAAATCATTGAAAGTCCAATAGCATGGAGATGTTGTTTCTTTGAGTATCGTGCATACTGCCGTTTGATGAAAGAATATTTCAGAGAGGGCGCCAAGTGGACAACAGCCCCTAAACCACAAATGAGCGATGAGCTTTTGGTAGGTACTATAATATGATGTTTTGCATTAGGTTTTACAGTAGATGTTTCTATATAGAGCCTTTCAATTTAACATTTTCTTCTAATAAAAATTGTTAAATGTGGCGTGGTGTTGCTGTTTCACTGTTACCAATGCGCCATCATGTACTTGCACTGCACATGTTACCAGCGGCCAGAATAGAAACTCTCTTGTAGGGTTCATGGTGAGAGTTTTTATGGCTTAGTATGGTACAAAATGTGCTTTTAGACCACAATATTAAGGATTGGCATTAAAAATAATGTCATTTGGATAGACAAATAATTTTTATATTTTTGATCTGAAGACTTAGTCGCGTGCGTCGGACGATAGGGGATTTAGGCCTGTCGGACGGGGGAAAATTCCCCCTGTCCCTGCTCACTCCACCACTGCTTAGGACAAGGATGTCAAATGACAAGTGACAGAAACAAATTTTGTTTATGGAATCAGATGTACCACCAACAATTGGAAAAATAATCATAGAGATGATATGGAAAAAGCACAAGTTCTATCAGTAATGCAGGATCGTTAGGCAAAAAGGTAAAAGAGAAAGCGAAACTGCCCAAAGAAGCAGACTTTTGGGGTATAAAATGATGATGATAATCTGTCTATACTGAGGAATTTCTTCAAGGTCTTTCCAACTTTACATGGTTCTCTTTATTTCTTTCGGTGCAAAGAGTTGTTGGTACTTGTCTAAATGTTTCTTTCACTTTCCCTGGAAATATGCTTTGCTAGAGTTTTCCGATAGACTCATTCAGCTCCATTTTCTTTAGTTCTGAATTAGAATTTTTATACAAAATTTACTTCTATTGTATCTGGTCACCAAAATGGTGTTTACACTCATATGCGAAAACAGACTTGACACACTGGAATTAAAAAAGACAACTCTATTGACCTTTTCTTTGACAGTTATGGATGTTTTTTGTAAGAAAATTTGTAAAATTGTATAAGATGAATTATTGTTACTGTTATTATTATTATCATTATCATTATTATTATTCTTATTATTATTATATTAATCATCTTGCCATATTTTAATGTTTAATATTTTAATCCATTCTGTAAGTGGCGGGTTTCCCGCTGTAGAATGAGAGTATAAATAAATATATAAATTTTTAAAAAGTGGATTGTGTCATTATAGTTTAATATTCTTTTTGCAAAATATATTGATGCAAGTCCAACACAACAACTAACAAACGTAAATCAATGGTACACTAATCTTGGTCAGAGTTTGAACTCGGTTATGAATTGTAATATTTATTTATTAAACCTTTTATAGGGTTATATTGGATCCCATGAGAGACTAGAATTACCAGCTAGAGGTCAATTTGTGACGACAGAATTTGAACCTTGCTTCGACGCTGCTGATTTTGAACGTGCTGGAAAGGACATTTTTTGCCAGTTAAGTAACGTGAGTACTATATTGTTTTACTGTTATAGGCCTATAATAAATCACTTTTCAATAAAACGTTTTACTGAGGATACCAATCTTGTTATTTACAATCTCAGACAACAAACCGAATGGGTGTTGAGTGGCTTCGACGTCAAATTGGTGATGACTATACAATCCACATTGTACAATGTGTGGACGATGCTCCGATGCATATAGATGCGTCCCTGTGCTTATTGAGACCTGGTCTGGTTTTAGTCAACCCAGAAAAACCTTGCTATCAGATAGAGCTGTTCTCAAAGGCTGGGTGGGATGTTGTTGAGGCACCTCATCCAGTAACACCAAGCGGTATATTAAAAGATATATCAAATGAATATAATGATGAATTATATCCGAATATGCCTTGTAAAGACTTTTTAGAAGCCAGTCATATTGTTTTTGGTTTTTACATTTTGAAATTGTTGATCTTTTTATCTTGTCTTAATTTCAAATTGTAAATAATCTTTTTTTAAAAAAAATTATTGCTGTTCTTCCTTTTAGCAATTGAATGTTTCGTTTGCAGGATTCTAATGGAAATACGTTTCTTTGAAACCTTTTTGGGCTATTCCTTGCTTTCTGAGTTTTTAATTGTATTTGCTTTTCCTTGTCTTGTCTTCATTGTTTTTGTATTTTACTCTGATTGCTGAATAAATACAAAATCAAATCAAATTGCTCTTGTAACTTTCATAATGATTTTGAGAATTTGAAGAAGAAACTTGAGAAGAAGTGATATTATGATTGTATTATGATTGTTTTTGTGGTTATGACAGTGGCTGTGATTGTCACTGTGATTTTGATTTGACTGTGCTGTGTCTTTTGCTGTTGCTGTCTTTTTTTCGTTGCCATCATTGTTGCAGTGAACGTCATTGCTACATTATCATAATATTTTCTATTGTCAGTACAGTACAGTGTCAGCGCCATCATTATCTGTTTCAGTCAATAAAACGAACACAAATTTCAGTGTAATTTATACAAATATATTTCTATAAGACTTTCTTCTGTGCACCTTTTACAGATCACCCGATGTGGTTTTCTTCAACATGGCTGTCAATGAATGTTCTGATGTTGGACCATAACCGGGTGGTAGTAGATGCAAACGAGATTCCTACTCAAAGACTTTTCGAGAACCTTGGTATGGAATGCATCAAAGTTGATTTGCGTTTTGCTGGTTCTCTAGGAGGTGGCAGTCATTGCTGGACTTGTGACGTCAGACGAAACGGTTCTTTAGAATCATATTTCTAAAATCTTCACTATATTTATGCTGTTGGATATAATTAATTGTATTTTATTTAATACTTTGAGAATATAATATGAAATAAATAATATATAGAATTTTTGACCTCTGGTAATTTGTACTTAACATTTGTTCATATTTGTGAAGCTTAATTACATTACACACACTTTATCACAAATAATAAACAAGACTACATATTTTGTTTTAACTAGTAAAAATATTTTCACACACAAAAGTAAACAAATAAATATTACAAGTTAGTTACTTGTTCTATTTGTTTATTACATATTATTGTGTATTGCTTACGTGTTTGCTTATTAATTATTATTGTTAATTTCATATATATTTTATTCGGATAAGTATTATACCGAAAGAAAGCAAACAATTTGCCAACAAAAATTGTGTTAAATGAAAGCCTAAAAAAATAATAGTGAATTTAATCATTTTCTAGAGAGTTTCCAGCTATGTTTGACAAAAAGTAAAAGATACACGAAACAAGAACATTTCATTCATCAATTTAAACATACAAAGTTCAGTTAGTAGACCAGTGGGACAGGGGCGCCGAGATGCGGGAGAGGGCAGGTCTTTCCCTTTGGGTAGAACTGGACCACGGGGTTCTAAGCACAATTTGTCGAGAAGTAAAAGAAATCAAATTTAATGTTTACATAATATGACACTACACAAATCCGCTTTTCTGTATTTATTAGAATTGTAGCAATAATAGTAATCATAATAATATAGATACTATATTTTTGTATATGTCGTTACTTTTATATTCTTTGTTTGTAATTGTATGAAATCATTGAAAGTCCAATAGCATGGAGATGTTGTTTCTTTGAGTATCGTGCATACTGCCGTTTGATGAAAGAATATTTCAGAGAGGGCGCCAAGTGGACAACAGCCCCTAAACCACAAATGAGCGATGAGCTTTTGGTAGGTACTATAATATGATGTTTTGCATTAGGTTTTACAGTAGATGTTTCTATATAGAGCCTTTCAATTTAACATTTTCTTCTAATAAAAATTGTTAAATGTGGCGCCCGGTTCAGTTTCTACGATGGCCCATAAGGGACACACTACAAACAAAAAGAAATGCAAAAAAAAAAAAGGATAAAGAAAAGAAACGCTGCAAACAAAAATAAAAATCACCAGCAAACCAAAAAGAAAACGCTGCAAAAAAAAAGGAAACGCGCATTTCATATTCATGACGACAGACAGGAGCCAGATGTACATCAGTGGACGGAATAAAGCCATGTATCTGATGTACATTTTTTTAAGCTTCGTGATGGTGTGCTGAGAAGTGTCAGGCATTAATCCTAATCCAGGGGGTTCCGCCCCTGTATAAATTTATTTTATTTTTACAAATAAGTACTTTAAATGGAATATAAAATTGAAAGTATTTCTTAACACAGGCTAAATTGGAAACGTATATTTTTCGGGAGGGTGCGGGCAACCCTTTTCCAACTTCCTATCGTCGAATTCCAACGCTAGCACGTCTCACTTTGTACTGGTGCCCCAAGTTCACACATTCCTGGTTCCGCTACTCTATGAATTATTCAGATACGTTACACATTTCGAAATGCTCACAGAATTACATTTATAAAATTATGAATTTGTCATCTTTCGATAAATCAGATTTTTAATAGTTTGTAGAAATTTTATTACTAAAGACTTTAAATTTGCTTTCAGAAACTGTAGGATATAAAGTAATGTCCAAAGACCATAGAATAGTATTATTTAAACGCCAATTAATTAGCGGTAAATAAGTTTTATAGATGACAAATTCTATTTTTATAACTGCATGTATGATAGGGGGATTCCCCACATTACCGATACTTCGTGTATTATAGAGGGCGTTCTTTATACGTGGTAAAATATTTTTGTGAATGTGGTGTGGGCAGCACTGATGGAGGCATCCTGAGTTTGAATGTTGAACAAATTATATTGGAGCAAAAAAAAAACCAAAAAAAAACCTTTATTGATCGCATCCCATAATCTGTACCGTAAAACAGAAAATAGAAACTAAAAGCCAAGTCTTTTCAAGTTTAAGTTCAAAGTAATCTTTATTACAATTTGTAAACAAATTGAAACTTAACAATTAAAATCGAAAGAAAAACAGGAAAAAATAAACCGCATAAAAATATAGAAAATTTAAAAAACATCTAAAAATGTTCCTTCAATAGAAATGAAAAAAAATAATACATACTTCAAGAAATGAAATGTACACTGTCGTGATTGTTTTCAATATTTTCACTGTTTATTGGGTCATCATCAGAAATATGAATTTATCCAGATTTTGCAGGCTTATATGCGGTAATTACCAAACGTATTAAACATAGAGAAAGTAGAAACTATTTTCTCTGTGGTATTAAACAAATACACGACATGATATTATAGAGGTGATTTATAATAATACTATGTGGTAAGTACCAAAAGTATTTTCTAATTAGGCCTAGATGGTATGATATTATGTCGTTTATTCCTAACAATCCATAAGAGGATCAACGATACCGTACCTAGGCCTACATAAACAAAGACAAATTCTTTAAAGCTTTAAATCCTTCGTTGTTCAAATAATTATTGAAATGCCTCTTTAAATAATATGATGGACTAGTTCTGAAAGTTGTCAATTATATACAAGTTGGAAACTTTTTAAAATTGCCACAATGCTATATATCTAACTTTCTTGACTAATGTGTCTTTCTTCTAGATTATAGATAATTATAAGTATGCTTGTATGTGGTAATATAATTACTAAATAAGTTGCACTCTACAAATCAGATTGTTACAATAAGCAGTCGGCACTAATTAAAGCTGATTTGTTCAATGCCTAATGTTTATTTAAATATTATCTCATTGTATTATCTCAAAAAGCCAGTTGGCGATGCCATGAAATCAGATCGACATGATGCCCCAGCCAATGCGTTGTTGCCAGCTTAACTGGAAAGGTCCGTGGTTTGCTGCCTCTGAAAATACAAAACTATATTAAACTAAATTTTGTCTTACATAATAATTTGTAATGTTCTGCAGGGCCGGATCCAGAATTTTTAAAACGGGGACGGCGGGGGCACAATAGTTTCAGAATAGATAAGTCAGTTGCACATAGCATTGATTTGCATTTAAATTTTTAAAATTTAGCGGCAAAACAGGGGGGGGGGCACGTTCCTCCCCGTGCCCCCCCCCCCCACTGGATCCCTGTATTGAACAAGGCCTATCGGGCGGTTGCTCTTTTAAGTATTTTCCTTCACCACCAATATCTATTACCAGGCCTATAATTATAGCCAGTTTTATAATCCAGGTGCTACAGGTGCTACAGGCGCTACAGGGTCATTCCAGCTAACATTTTGGTTTGTAATAACGATGTTTGGGGTAGAAAACGTGGTTTATTTTTTAAATCATAAATACGTACAGTATTTATTAACGTACTTCACGGCTAACATTATAATACTGCTGGTACGCGTACGTTGTATACCGTAACGTTTTATTCAGACATACATAACCACAACTTTCACGAGCGTTATACGTTCTGTGTTTGCTGTGATGTCAGCTTATTTCATTATACTGTCATTTTGTGCGAGAAAAATGTACTTTCTTTAAACATATAATACTTTTAGGTACACAATAACATCATGATAATATAAGTTATA